AAATACATCAGTCTATTCATTTATTCATATTAATTTTTCATTTATTCAACAAATACTTATCAAATTCCAACAACATTTCAGGAACTGCATGAAGTGCCAAGTATTCAAAGATGAATGAGATGGTTTCTAGACTCAGGGAGCTCACAGATTAGCGCGAATAATATCATAAAAATGTGTCGATAATGACATAGAGTGTGAAAGTGCAGTGAGAGAACCACCTGGAGGGTGATTCAAGAGCACATGGAAGGGACAGCTGGCCTGACTCGGTACATTTTTGGAACAGGAGGCTCCTGAGACTCTAAAAGAATGAGTAAGTGATAGTCAAGGGAGGAAGAAAGGAAATGCGTTCCAGGCAAAGGGATGGATGTGATGGCCAAAGCATAGCGCAGCGTAGGTGGGAAACTCAAGCAGAAAAAGAGTTCAACAGACATCAGGTTCCCTGTGACTGGTGGACTGCTTAATTCTGATAAGAGGCCATGGACTCATCTATTCTGAAAACAAAATCAGTAACAATCAATTAAAAGCCAAAAGCTGTCAGACCTGTGCAGAACAGTGACAGGTGGAGACCAAATCAAAAGAAGGGGAAATAGATGGTTTCTATGTGAAAGCTGCAGCACAGAAATTGGACAATGAAAACAGTACCTGTGGCTATTTAAATTGGAGACATTACTATCTGGTGATTACGTGTAGTATGTGTTAAATAAGAGAGGCCAGCTGGCAACCCTGTAGATTCGGACCACAAGAATGAACAAGTAGACACAATGAGGCTTGTTATTGGAGAATACATGCATATGTATAAGGAAAGAGGGAATGGCCAGAAGAAACTCCGGAAAGTGCATGGATGTTTACACCTTCGTATTAAACTATGTATTTACATGTATGCGTACACGTGAGTGCCAGATGAAACTTGAGGCTGAAAGGAGATAGGAAGTGTGGTAAAAAATATATATGCTTTATTTATCTGATAATGTGGGACTGTTGTATGAAACTTGGGCAGGAATGGATTATTGCATAGTTCCACTGAGAGTGTGTGAAATAGCTCAGATAAATGTGGCAACTGTGTGTTACTTTCTTGATTATATAATACCTCTTACACCCATCTTACTTCATCTAGTCCTCATTACTCAATAACCCAGGTAGTGTTATAGCATTTTGTACAGGAGGAGATTGAGAATTGGAGGCAAAATATGACTTGCCCGGGGGCATATAGTGGCAGAGTTGAGATTCAAACCAGGCTTTCTGACTCTGGAACCAGGGTACCAACCATTTTACCAGTGGTTTCAACATATCAGTAGCTTTCTGGAGAATTATCACTTGATAATTAAGGTTTTTGGGGTTTTAAAAAAATGTATAAAGATAGCTTTTGTGTGTAGAAACAAATTCTTACATCTGCATTCATTTTCACTAATAGTTCATACCTTACAATTTTGATTGTAAGTTGAAGATACAACTTAAATATTAAGTAAATCTACTTACAAACCTAGTGATTGTTAATTAATACTCAACTTGTTTCTAAATTTAAGATATTAAATTTCCCCAAGCATTTAAGTACAACTCATAAATTTAATTCATGTATTATTTTAAATATTTCATATTAAAGTCATGCAAGTTATGTTCTCCTAAATATTTAAGAATTTTTTTGTGATTGACTTAATTATCTAAAACTTTTCAACTTAAATATTTCATATATCTGGTTTTCTAAAGTACTTCAAACAGATAAGCAGGTGGAATTACAAACCTAACACACAAAATATTCTTAAGTACTTAAATGATACTTGAAAACCTAATAATAAAGATTTGATGATTCAGATTTATTTAAACTTATAAATGCTGTTAAAACTTATCAAATACTATTATACCTTTTAAAATTAAAATCGCACACAAAAAATTTTCAAGTTGAAATTACAAGTTTAGTATGTCAGATTTAAAAACAAGGCAACCTATATTTTTCAGATGATTATAAACACTGCTCACATTTCCCATTTTCTTTTTCATTTATTTTCTGCAGTTGTGGTCACCTAGATTTGCCCTTAACATTCCAAACTGGTACAAAAATACTGATTCTAAGGATTTTATCATTATTTTCTCCATGCTTATTTTTACATATTCCTGGAGTTGCTAAGTCATTTTATCATCTATTTACTCAAAAAATTTCAGGCTGTGGTTAGAGATTCTGGACAGAGACCTGGAACCTAGTGGCAATTTCCAGAATAATCTACCTGAGCTGCCTGTTAATATGCCAATCCTGTTCATCTAGAAATGGTTTCATCTGGCTACTTGTTAGCCATTTTATTTTTACTCTGACTTCTGACACAACTCTTACTATAACCCCTATCATAAATATAATTGTCTAATTTGCGTGCACGGCGTCTCATACTCACACCATCTCCCACCCCACTGAGTTGCAACTAATCTCGTTTGCTCAAAGCTAATTAAAATCTGCGTGACAGTCCCATCTACCCCCAGTGCTGGGGCTGTAACTAAACTCTTTATCTACTTGGATTTTGCACCTTTTAAATATAGATTATTTCCTAATCTGTCTCACAGACCACAAATTTATAGTTATTATGTTGACCAGAATTACCTCTCCAGTACTGTGTGCTGTTGGGTTTGAAACCAAGCAGGACCCTGTAGGGCCTTCCCAGGCACAGACATCCTCATGTCCCCTGCCTCTTGTTTGTAAAAAGCTTTAGCCTCCTAGGCCTTTCCAGAGTTCCAAAGAGCAAATTTAATCAGAGAAGTGAAAAAAATGCAGAAACAAAGGAAAACAGTCAAACAAGACAATATCATAGTAGTTCACTCATAAAACAAAATCAAGAACCTTTAATTCTTCCTCAATGGCTATAGATAAAATCCTGAGTCATAACCTTGAGTCGTTTGATAGATACTAAAACCCCAACCAGATGGAAGAAGTTAACTGCATGCTGACCACCAGCACGTAGAGCCCAAACTGGTTGGAACCAGAAGGTTGATGACGGAGATTCCTGAAACATCACCCTGTTACCTTACCATCAACCAATCAGAGAATTCTGCACAAGCCGATCATGCATCCTGGGACTCTCTCCCTCACAGTCTTTAAAAACCCTGCCCTGAAAGCCACTGGGGAGTTCTGGTCTTTTGAGCATGAGCTTCACGTTTCCCTTGCTTTGTCCCACGCTTGGCACTTTGCAATAAATGCTGCACTTTTCTTCACTACAACCTGGTGTTGGTAGATTGGCTTTGCTGTGCGTTGGCTGAGTGCACCCAAGTTTGGTTTGGTAACAGGTTGGAACCATAAAACATGGTGTCCTGACCAATGGATGGGCATGTGGTCAAAGTTTACTCGCTTTAGGACTTTGAATGTTGAGCAAAGGCAGAAAAAGAATTAGCAGCAGTGCCCTAAAAACCAACAAGTGGTTCCACTTACTGACATCCTGAGTTGCTGCTGGTTCCCAGCTGGACCTTCAGCCTTCAGTTCTTCGAGCTGCCTTCACATCCTTCCAGTAAATTACACTGTCTGTTACTTTGCAACCCCAAACTCCAACTGGTACAGGCAGCCAAGGGGAGGCTGCACAGATGAGAAAAAAAGGTGTACTTAGCAAAGAAAGCCGGCCCTTACCCAGGCTCCGGTCAGACCAGCCGCAGTTATTCATTCTGCAGATTTCATGTGCAGGTTTGAGATCATTTTATTGCTAAAGAGGTATGAAATCATTACATTCATGACTGCTAAGGTTTCAGTTATGAAACCTTAAAATTGGAGCATTTTAAGGACAAACTGAAGGATGAGAACTATGGCAGAAAATATGCCTGAATCAGAAAAAGAAAATGAAAAATTTGAAGCAGCTTTCAAAATTCATGAGGTTTCAGAGAAAAGAGAGAAATCAGGAACTCTTTCCATGTGAGAAGCCTCAATGCCTAAAAATCAAGGACTAGGCAGTAAAGCAGGTAACAGAAGATGCAAAGAAAAGGCGCAGGGAGTCGTGATTAAAAAGAGATAGGAAACGTGGGACCGATGCTTCAAAGTCCCTGAGAGAAATACACAGGAGAGACAGTACATGTTACTAGGACTTCCACGGAGAAATAACAATGAAAGGTAAAAATTTCATACTCGGTTCCTCAGCCTTTGTAGAAAACAGAGCATGGACATGTGCTTTAGGTTCAACTAAGCAGACACACAAATGTAGAAACAAAACCTGAGGACACAAAGAAATTGGCACTGCAGGGAATCAAGAGAAACTGACACAAAAAGCATAGATGGGGACAACTCCTCAGGAAGTGGTAGAATTTTAAACAACAGTCTCCAGAGACAGCACTGGCAGCTGTGCGGTGGAGGCATCCTAAAGTTCAAGGTCAGTGGGTGAAGTGACCTGTCGGTCCAGGCTTCAGCAGTAATGACATTGGGGTCCACGATGAGCTGTTCTCTGGAGTGATTTTGATGATGGCAATGTGTCCCCAGCTTCCTTTTGTTTCCCCATGTTCTCTTCCAAGTGTGGTCCTTCATCCTTGCTATTAATTTTGAGACTTACCCAAAATCCTCTTGTCAAATAAATTTCTATTTAAGTCAGCCCCAGTCAGTTCCTATTCATTGCAATGAAGAACTCTAATTCCATTTTTAGTTTTTTAAGGAAACTCCATACTCTTCTCCATAGTGGCTGCACCAGTTTACATCCCACCAACAGTGCAGGAAGGTTCCCTTTTCTCCACACCCTCTCCAGCATTTACTGTTTGTAGGCTTTTTGATGATGGCCATCCTGACCAGTGTGAGGTGATACCTCATTGTAGTTTTGATTTGCATTTCTCTAATAATTAGGGATGTTGAGCATCTTTTCATGTGCCTGTTGGCCACCTGTCTCTGGAGATGTCTCTGGAGAAATGTCTATTTAGGTCTTCTGCCCATATTTTGGTTGTTTGTTTGTTTGTTTTGATATTTAGCTGTATGAGCTGCTTGTATACTTTGGATATTAAGCCCTTGTAGGTTGCATCATTTGCAAATATTTTCTCCCATTCCGTAGGTTGCCTTTTCATTTTGTTCATGGTTTCCTTTGCTGTGCAAGAGCTTATAAGTTCGAGTAAGCCCCATTTATTTATTTTTGCTTTTATTTCTTTTGTCTTGAGAGACTGATCTAAGAAAACGTTATGATTATGTCAGAGCATTTTTTGCCTATGTTCTCTTCTAGGAGTTTTATAGTTTCATGTCTTATATTTAAGTCTTTCAGTCATTTTGAGTTCATTTTTGTATGATACAGCAATCCCACTCCTGGGCATATATCTGGAAAAGACGAAAACTCTAATTTGAAAAGATGCACGCACCTCAATGTTCATAGCAGCACTATTTACAATAGCCAAGACATGGAAGCAACCTAAGTGTCCATCAACAGATGAATGGATAAAGATTTATACAATGGAATATAACTCAGCCATAAAAAGGAATGAAATAATGTCATTTGCAGCAACATGGATGGACCTAGAGATTATCATACTAAGTGAAGTAAGTCAGACAGAGAAAGACAAATATCATATAATGTCACTTATATGTGGAATCTAAAAAAAGATACAAATGAATTTATTTATAAACCAGAAATAGACTCACAGACATAGAAAACAAACTTACGGTTATCAAAGGGGAAGAAGGGGAGGAATAAATGAGGAGCTTGGGATTAACAGATACTACTATATGCAAAATAGATAAACAACAAGGTCCTACTGTATAGCACAGGGAACTATATTCAATACCTTGAAATAACCTATAATAGAAAAGAATCTGAAAAATAATTTATTTATATACATATATATAACTGAATCACTTTTCTGTATAGCAGAAACTAACACAACATTGTAAATCAACTACACTTCAAAAGAAAAAAACTCTAACTTATAAAGCTGTAAAACTTTATTTCGGGACTTCCCTGGTGGTGCAGTGGTTGGGAATCTGCCTGCCAATGCAGGGGACACAGGTTCAATCCCTGGTCCGGGAAGATCCCACATGCTGCGGAGCAGCTAAACACATGTGCCACAACTACTGAGCCTGTCCTCTAGAGCCCGTGAGCCATAACTACTGAGCCTGTGCTCTAGAGCCCATGCTCTGCAACAAGAGAAGCCACCACAATGAGAAGCCCACACACCACAACGAAGAGTAGCCCACACTAGCCACAACTAGAGAAAAGCCCGTGCGCAGCAATGAAGACCCAACACAGCCAAAATTAATAAAATTAAAAAAACACAAAAACTTCATTTCAATACTTTTCATTCAGTAAGCCTTTAATCAGCACATATATTGTGTACGATATTGTGCTGGAAACCAGGAGGGCAAAGTCCCCATCATCCAGGTACTTAGAGTCTAGTGGAGGAACACAAAACTTAAGTAAATTTAAAAATAATTGTACGACACAAGTTATTAGAGGTGTTGTATTATATTAAGTGCTATGGAATTTGCATGACATATCAATTAATTCTGCCCAAGGCCAGATGGGGAGCTATGTGAAGGTACAGAGAAGAAGTGATATTTGAGTGGAGCCAGAAGGACAAATAGGATTTCACCAGTTTCACAGGAGCACACATTCCTGGAAGAGTGAGTTGTATGAGCCAATGTATGGGGACTTAAAAGTTTGGGATGTGTTTGTGGCCCCAAAAATACAGGTGGCTTGAGTGTTGTTATCACAAACAAGTACCTAGAAATAAAACTACAGTGATACTCTGAGATCTGATTATGAAGGTATGTGTACACCATACTAAAAAGTTATTTTATTCAGTAACTGCCATTATGGTTTTTAAAGCAAAAAAGTGATAGGACCAAATCTGTTTTCGAGAAATAGTGCTGGTGTCAGTGCAAAGGTAGTAAGAACAGTGTCAAGGCAACACCGACACAGAATACATTTGAAAGTTTGGCTGCAAAAGTTTTTGCCTACATTCCAAGTGAGAGGTGTACACAACTCAAAATGAAAACTGAGGAAGCAGTAGTAGAATTTGAAAACTACTGCCAACTTAGCTGGTAACTAACGATGAGATGTGAGGTAGCCTTATGTCCTCGGAAAGACTTCTGTAGGCTTGGATTACTCATCATAAACAGAATACTAATGACATGATAAAATGGTAATGATCCCTATGCTGCAGGGTAGTTATGCAGATAACAATAGTGTATTAAAAGGATCCAGCATTGAGCCTGATTCTCAATAAATTTGGACACTAAATAATAGAAGCTATTGTTTTTAATACAGGGAAGAATGTAGAGGACTGAGCATTCTATTTTATTCTGTGATTCGCCAGACATGGCTTTAATAAATGCCACATTATACTTTGATGAAGTCACAGTGACCAAAATGATGTGACTTCCACTTATTTCAGAAGCCAAAGAGCAGGAAAGCTTTAATAACTAACCAAAGGGGAAGAGGGGGAAATTGAAGTGGCCCTCCTTTCAACGGCTACTTGGAAGGTAAGAATGTCCACGTTTTACACTTCAGCATGGTTCTTCTGTGGTTATATAAAAATGCTTTCCCACATGCCGCGGAGCAACTAAGCCTGTGCGCCGCAACTACTGAGCCTGCGCTCTAGAGCCTTCGAGCCACAACTACTGAGCCTGCGCTCTAGAGCCTTCGAGCCACAACTACTGAGCCCACGTGCCACAACTACTGAAGCCCACACACCTAGAGCCCATGCTCCGCAGCAAAGAGAAGCCACCACAATGAGAAGCCCACGCACCGCAACGAAGAGTAGCCCCCACTTGCCACAACTAGAGAAAGCCACGTGAAGAAACGAAGACCCAACGCAGCCAAAAACAAACAAATAAATAAATTTATTAAAAAAATGCTTTGTTATATATAAAAATGCTTTACTCTTTTACATGCATGTATTTGCTCTCCCATTAAATTAAAATATTTAGGTCAGAGCCTGTCTCTAATACTTTCAGTGTCTACTATATTAAGGAAGTTCAATATACATAAATATCTTTTACATTTTCAATAAAAGAAAACCTTTATCTTCAATAAAAATTGTTATATATAAATATTACATATACACATATATAAATATATACATATATAAAACCTAGGTCTCTAATGAGGCTTACCTGAATATTTATTTTAACTGTTGGAAAATACTGATTTGAACTGTTGAAAAGTATTGATTTCAAGCCCTTAACTTAGTATTTATAGTTAGCCTTATAAAAGAATGCTAGATGAACATTAAAAAATATACAAATTGCTTTAAATATATTTAAATTTTACAATAATTTCCCTGTCTTCATCCTACTAAATCATCCTAATTTTCAAATTATTTTGTTTCCTTTTTTTTTTACAATTGCAAATTCAGAGAAGTACAAATAAACACAGAAAAGTAGGCCATAATTACCTTACCTTAATAACCGCTGTTGACATACTAAGTAACCCACGGGGAAGATTAGAAAATTCAGTCCGTTTGGAAAGGTACAAAATGAAAATTGGAAGCCTCTCTTCCAAAGGAATGTCATCCTGAAAAAAAAAAAAAGCCTAAATTTACATGTACCTCTATTTCACACACACACCACACAAGTGATCACACTATACACACTGTAACTCGCCTTGCTTTTTCACATACTATATTTTGGAATTCTTTCCACATCTGCATTTAAATCTCCTTCATAGCAGGAAACAGTTACAAAGTATTCTAAAGTGAATTTAACTAGAGTTAGCTTTTACTGAACACAGTTGCCCAGGCACAGGCCTCAGTGTATTTTACTTAAGTCTAGCTCAGACTTTCACAGATTCAGGACCCCGAAGTGCCTTTAATCCCATAAACCGTAATTCCCAAACTCCAAACCTGATTTGAATTTCAGTCCACTTCGCAAAATCTCGCGTTACTCTCCTCTCACCCGGCGGGTCTTGCTCCGCCTCCCCCGACTTCTCTACCCGCCCAGCACAGGAGTGGGCGAAGCAGAGCCTTCCGAGGGCGCCTGCGCGGCAGATGCGCGCCTGCGCGCTACGGGGCTGACGGCGCGTCAGTGCTCTGGGCTAAGGTGGCTGGGGCCGAGTTGGGGGGCGGGACGCGCGGCGCTATGGCCGAGGGCAGCGGGGAAGTAGTAGCAGTGCCCGCCACCGGGGCTGCTAACGGCCTCAACGATGGGGCCGGCGGGCCCTCGGCGCAGACTAACAACCCGCTATCGCGGAAACTGCGTAAGATCCTGGACACACGGCTGGACAACGACAAGGTGAGCGGGACTGGCGGGGTCGAGGGTGCTGCGTCGTCTGCGGGTCGGACCCGGGCTGGGGGCGGTGTCTGTCCGGCGCCCTCGGGCTCGTCCCTGTCCCCGCCGCGGAGGGGACCCCAGGCCCGCGGGACCCGCTGCTCTGCCGCGTGGGGCAGGTGAGAAACGGGAGGCCGAGGAGCCCCTGGAAGAGCAAAGAGGTTTCCTGGGTGTTGCCCCATATTTAATTAAAACTGTTCTTCGAAGACTCTGGATCGGGAAGGCAAACGGTGAAGTCCCCTGCCCCCGCAGGTGTCGTGGGTCTGAGCAGGGAGGGGAGAGGAGAGCCCCAGGCAGGAGAAGAAAAATGCAAAAGAGCAAACTACAAAATAAGGTAGCGCGAATGGGGAGCTTAGGGGGAACAGGAGGTCAGGGCTAAGCATCCTTGAGCCTTTCCATTGACAGGTGAAAACAATTAAAATAATTTGCAGCGCGAAAGGGCTACCACCTGCTCATGGCTACTAGTTTTTGTTGTGAGCTAAGCACTGTCTATGATGTATGGGCTCATGCTGTATTTCTTTACAAGATAGTTTATCTTGTAAACTATCTTGTATTTCTTTACAGGATAGTTTATCCTCTCCCAAGTACCTCCTGAAACTTAGATTGGACTTTCCATCTCCCGTGGTAGCAGATTATCTCTTCTGTATCACTGAGTCGCTAGGTATATTGGTCATGCCATGGTGGCATAAAGAAAAAAGAATGTGTATAAGTGAGAGTTTTATAGATAAGTTTCTATCTAAAATTTTTAGATAAGTTTCATAGACAAATTTTTATTTTTTATACATATTTTAGACTGTTTAAGTGAGAGTTTTATGGATACATTTTTATAGATAAAAATAGAATTTTTAATGTATAGATACAGAATTTTTATCTATAAAGATTTTATTTTTATAGATAAATTTTTAGGTAACTGACAGTAAGCTGTCAATAAGAATTGGTGTGTAAAAAATAGCATTATACTATAATGAGTAAGAAAGATTGGCTCTGGGACCACCACTTATTAGATATAACCACCAAATTGGTGCATCATGGTTTCAATAAGTCCCTTAACTTCTGTGAGCTTATGTTAAGTTTCTAAATTGGGAATACTGCCAGTAACCTCCTCAGGGTTGTTGTGCAGGTTCAATGAGAGAATCCAGGTGAAATGCTCAGCACAGTGCCGCAGCAGTTATTTCTTGTTAAATGTTAATTCACTTTTTAAAAATTTATTTATTTTTGGCTGCATTGGGTCTTCGTTGCTGCGCGCTGGCTTTCTCTAGTTTCGGCGAGCGGGGGCTACTCTTGTGGTGCGCGGGCTTCTCATTGTGGTGGCTTCTCTTGTTGTGGAGCACGTGCTCTAGGTGTGTGGGCTTCAGTAGTTGTGGCGCACGGGCTCAGTAGTTGTGGCTCACGGGCTCTAGAGTACAGGCTTATTAGTGGTTGTGGCGCACAGACTCAGTTGCTCCGCGACATGTGGGATCTTCCCGGACCAGGGTTCAAACCCATGTCCCCTGCATTGGCAGGCAGATTCTTAACCACTGCGCTGCCAGGGAAGTCCCAAGAATTTCCACTTTTTTTCAATGGCTATATCCTAATGTCTTTAAACCAATCCTTTTTAGATGGACATTACGGTTTTTTCTAATCTTTGCAGTTCCAAACAATTCTGCATTGAATAACGTATATATGTCACAATGCACAAGTAAGTATGTCCTTATTGTGTCTCAGAAATAAGTTTACTGTTCAGTAATGTGAAGGTCATCCAGTATATTTTGGATTGTGTAATGGAAACAAATTATTTGGAAATGATTTCATTAAATTTTTGCTTGAGATTAGAAAAACATTTGAAAATCGGTCCCAATAATGTTCTTTTATTATCAATTATGTAGGAGATGTTGGAAGCTCTCAAGGCACTCTCAACCTTTTTTGTTGAAAATAGTTTGCGCACTCGAAGAAATTTACGTGGAGATATTGAACGCAGAAGTTTAGCCATCAATGAAGAGTTTGTAAGCATTTTCAAGGAAGTGAAGGAAGTATGTAAACTTTTCACTTACCATTTATTGAGAGCTTACTATATGCCTGGCTCTGTGCTGAGCTTCTCTATGGATAGAGTTGATATGTTTGCAACTCGTGTACCGTGCTCAAATAGAAATTTAGCTACTTACTCCAGCAGCTTCTAGGTCTTTCTCTGGATTAGTGTGACTTCTAAATCTCTAACCTCCACTAGTGCTGCTTTTTGGAAAGTTGTAACATATGTTCCAGGATATTCTTTTAGGAATCTTAGCTTTTGAAACAAACAAAAAATAGCACTTCTCTGAGTGGTTTTCCAGTAGAAATAGTCCCTCACTGAATAAACCTCCCTTAGATAACCACTTCTCCACTGGAGATGAATTAGGATTGAGTTACTTTACTGCATCCTAAATTATGAAATTTTCAGATTAATTAGGATCAATGACTTCAGTTAATAAATAATGTTTCATTACACTTGAGTGAGCTGTCTACTCACCATAGGGTGAAAATGAATTTTATTTATTATGTTATATTTTATTTATGTATTATATAATACTTCATTAATTATGTTAATATTACTGAGTGATATTACATAGTTAATAGTTCTGTGTGAGTTGTATGAAAGTGTCATACATGGTTCTAGTGAGACAGATTATTTTTAACAGTGTAGTAGGATTTCATTGGCTGAAGGCTAATAATCTGGAAGATTAAAAGGGAAGTTTGGTAGTGTTCATAAAAATAGGGAGAGATAGTAGTGATGAGCACATCTAAACTGTACTCTCTAAACACCATTTCCCTCTGGAAGGAAGTACCAAAGTGGGGAGGCTGTATAAGACTACTGGGAAGTGTCAAAAGGACTCTGGAGCTAACTTAGGTTTCCACTGGCCTAATATAGGATGATTTGAGCATCAGTAGGAATGACTGCAGTGGACTGAAACACAGCAAGCATATTTGAATCCATGAGTTCATAATGATACTAAAAACCAACAGAACCCTCACTGGTTATCTTAGGTGGATATGAGGGAACCAACTTATCGTTTTGAAAACAACTAAATAAAAGGAAAGAGTCAAGCATTTATCCTGTCTTTGGTACCAACTATATACAATTGTTGAGGCAAGGCTTCCCTTTATAGTAATATTCCACTTACTAAATGAAGAAATGATAGAAGATTTTGTAACCACTGTTTAAAGGATCTAGCTCAGGGTTTCTTAGTCTTGGCACTATTGACATTTGGGGCCAGATAGTTGTTGAGGGTTGTCTTCTGCTTTGTAGGATGTTTGGCAGCATCCCTGGCCTCTGTCCACTATATACCAGGAGCACCACCTTTCCTCAAGTTGTTCCAGCCAAAAATGTTTCCAAACATTGCCAGATGCCTCCCTGGGGGACAAATTTGCCCAAGTTGAAACCACTGATCATCAGTAACTGCTTATCTCACAAAAAGAAACAGTCATATATGTGACTGCTAACAAAGGTATACAACATCACCTGTGAAGAATTCTTGCAAGAAAATTGGACCAGAATATAATCAAGCTTCTAGATCTAATTGCAAGTTTATAGGAAATACTGGGGACAGAGGAGTATGTTAACAGTATGAAGAAGCAGTCAGCAAGTCTGGTGTGCTGGGAACTGTGCAGGCAAATGAACTGGTTTCTTCAACAAATAAATTGTAAGAGAAAGACAATTTATTTAAAGAAATAAAGGAAATATCAACCAGTTGATGTTTGTGAATATCATTTGGTTCCCGACTTGAACAAATTATTAAAAAAAACTGAAACAACTGGGAAAATTTGAACACTGAATAGAAATTTGGTATTAAGGGATTATTGTTGAATGTTTAGATGGGTAAATGGCTTTTTTTTTTGAGTTCTCTTAGAAGTGCATACTGATATGTTTATGGATGAAATGATATGCTATCTGGAATTCAAAATAATTCAGCTTGGGGAGGGAGAAAGTGGATGGGAAGAGAGTTAGAAAGTGGGCACAGAGATAGATTAAACAAGAGTGGTCATGAGTTGCTAATTGTTAAAGCCGTGTGATATGTACATAGGCATTCACATTATCTCAACTTTTAGATAATTTTGGAATTTTTCCATAATAAAAGATTTCTTTAAAGGTTATCATACTGCAATTGTATTTAACAACCTGTAATTTTATTTAATCGGGAATAAAAGGCAGTTTGAGTTCAAATGAAGACTTTACATACAAGCAACGTAAAGGTTCTTGAATTACAATTTAGCAAATCTCTGCATTTAAGTCATATATTAAGAGATGTAATTTCTATTATTTTACAAATCAGATTCATTCAGTGTACTATAGTAGCTAAAGTAAATATCAGGAGTAGTTATTCTTGACCTTGTTGGCTGATAAAATGTCATAGTGCTAGTCTTATACAGTGAGATTTAAGGAAATAGATTAATTTGCCTATTAGTTAGTACCTATTTGCTATTGCTGACATTAATTGCTATTTTGAAATCATTCTTTTATTGTTTAAAGCAGTTTAGCACTTAACTAATCTGATTTACATCCTATTAATGGTAAGATACAGAGAGTAACATTTGAAAATGTCTGGTGCTATGATTTTTATAATTCAAAGTACTTTATATAGAGAAAGGAAAAAATGTAATTCTGGAACTAGGATGTATGCTCATACTCTTGTAAGTGATTTCCTAACTCTAGTTCATCCTTACATTTTGTTCGTAGTCCTGCTTGGTTGCTTTCTTATCTCTTGCCCTATGATTGGCCCATCCCTTCATAAAACTGTCATGTTTTCATTTGAAGGTTTGGGCATTGTGTTGAAAGAGACCATAGTAAGACCATGTCTACCACTGAAACTTTCTTTCCTTGCATATCTTTCTGTTGTATTACACTGAATTGAATTGGGAAAAAGAAGATAATAGTGCAGTATGAAGTTAAATATAATTCTGTGATATCATTTTTTCATATTAAGAGATTGGTTCAGTAAAGATTGTAGAGAATGATTTAGTAAAGAGTTTGGAGCATGGGAGGCCTGTTGGAAGACCGTTTTTTATCAGTCCATACAGGAGAAAGAAATTGAACTGAACTCAAGTAGTAGCTGTTTGGGTTGTAAAAAAAGAAATGGATAAGATGTACATAATAAGGGCTATAAATGATAGACCTTAGTGACCAGCTAAATTCTTGCATATGTGGAGGGGGCTGGAGGTGGGAGTATATAGGGAAAGAATGTTACTGGGAGACTTACCAGGTTTTTGGCATGATCTAACATGTGATTACTTTCAACCATACAGGAGGAGGCACTATTGTTAGTTTATTGGGTTTTCAAATTTTCTTGTTTTTTATTAATTAAAAGTTATAAATAATTCATTATAGAAAAGATAAATAATAAAGTCAGAAATAGAAGGAACTAGCGACATTACTTACGATTCTACTACACAGAAATAACCTGTCAGTATTTTATTGTATAGCCCTTCATAGAGTCTTCCCTGTGTTCTTCTGCACACATATATATGTATTGCTTTATAAGCCTTCTTTTAGCTTTATGTAGACATCTTTCCATGCTAATTTACACACACACACACACACACACACACACAGATATTATCGTTGTTAATGTATGCACGGGTTTCCATTGTATGGTTGGAAACATTTCACATTTTCCATTTGTTTTAGGCAACTCTGTGTTGATCATCTCTTACATATATTGCACACTTATCTGATTAATTTCTTAGGATAAATTCTTAGTATGAGAATTTCTGAATAAACAGGTATTCATATTCTTAAAGCATTTGCCATTTTCCTATTGTCAGACCCTCTAAAAAGAATATACTAGGTTTTTTTTTTTACATCTTTTCTTATACTAGATATTATTCTTTTTAATCATTTTCAGTCTTAAATATGGGATCTTTTGTCATGCTTTGGCAAGAAAGGGACAAAAATAAGGATTTGGCTAAGAGGAGAAATTTCTTTAACTATATATATACTGCTTGATGTTACTTTTTTCCTTTTCAGGAACTTGAAAGCATACATGAAGATGTTCAGGCAATGAACAGCTGTTGTCAAGATATGACATGTCGCCTACAGGTACTGTATAATGTCTGGATTTTAGCCTAGTTCCTGATAAGCTTTCAGAAATTGCTAGATAGGTCTACAAAATGTGTGGATATCTGATACCTCATGCCCTGTAGGACGTTTGAATATAAATATCATGCTTATTTTTTTTAACTATAAATGTCTTTGTGTCTCTTTGGTGACGGTTTGCTAATATTGCGCAGTTAACTCCAGAAGCCTTTGTATTTTGATCTTGCCAGTATGGAGATAACTGTGGAATTTTGATCCACTTTTCAATCCCATAATGTTCAACAAATGCAGCAGAAATAAATTCCTTAGTAGAAAGCCTTAGGAATAATTTCAAACTAATGCTATGCCCAGTAAAGACCCAGCTTAATTATGATTTATGTTCAGCCTAAAAACATCTCAGGAAAATGTATGTAAGTTTAGGTCTGTTTATTAAAGCAGTTCCAAACCTCTAGTTTGGCTGTAGAGTTAACATTGACCTACATACTTCTGACTCATTTAATGCCCTGTGTTTCTACCTGCCTCACAGCCACTCACTTGTTTCTCTTCTCGTTAGTAACTGCCTTAGTTTTGTAGTGTTCCCCAGTTCAGGTCTTTGAGAGAGAATCTCACTGGTTACACTTGTGATTTGTTTCAATTCACTTTATAAATATTTTCCTAGTCCTTGAAATACCTTTTCATCAAGTTTTCACTCCTGATCCTTTCAGCTCTGGTTTGGGAGAGAGAGGATTGTTTAGTATGACTTGGCCAGGAACAGCCCTCTGTCCTTTAGATGGGGCTATCTTTAATGTTCTCCAGAATCCTATATGAGGGTTTTCTTTTTTGTATATCCCAACTCTCAAATTTTTATCTCCACCTTGGGTATTTCTGTTGAGTTCCACAGCAGCGTATCAGTGACTTAACTTTACAGCTTCATTCGGAGGTTTCCTGGTACCTCAACTCAGCATGTCTATAGCCGAAGTCCTCTTCTTCATCCTTACCTGGCTCTGGCAGTGCTTCTGTTCCACTGAGAAGCATCAGGAACTATTAAATTCCTTAATAAACATCGTTGTGATACCTTTTTCTTTCTTGTAAGCCTTAGCATTCTGAGTGAGTTCTTCTTATTAAACGTAGTGTATGAGCCTTGAAACATCTATTTCAGGTACTTGGGCCTTTTTTAAACTTTTGAGTTCTGGAGTGTGATCTCATTTGCTATAGTCTGAACTCCAGTAAGTGGCAGTATTAGTTTTCTGAAGTTGAAAAAAGTTGAAATGTACTGATAATAGATATGTTTATAATTTTAGGCAGCAAAGGAACAGACTCAAGATTTAATAATAAAAACCACTAAGCTTCAAGCTGAAAGGTAAGTTTTTCTTTACATAATCAACTCTTCATTAATTTGGAGATAACTGGGAAAGAAAATTATAGATAAATTCAAAGTTAAAACAATAATCAAAAACGTGACTCAAAAATGATACAAAGTATGAGGTTGTAAGCTGTTATCCAAGAGTAAAATAAACATAAAACAATAGTTTAGGAACATTGATAATTGGGATGATTGAGAGATTATCCCTCTTTGGAAGTGATGATGCATTGTTTGTTTGCCATAGAATTAAAAAATGACTGCTTTTTAAAATGTGGATTTTTCAAAGTTTTAGTAATTTTATTATCTTTTTCTCATAATTGTCTTTTATTTTTTACTTCCGATTATGCATCTTGCTACAGTCAAGATACAGAACCGTTCCATCACCACACAGGTCTCTCCCATTGGTGCATGGACCACGATGAGAAAAGTTGCAGCCTCAGCTGATGTGAAGAGATGGTTGGCTCTACAGAGCAGCCAACTCTCTAAGGAAAGGCAGGTGCTGGATTTCTGTACTCAGAACTAAGCATGTGCCTTGAGCATCAAATTAGAATGTTTTTAGTATCACAACTAATCTTTTGAAAGAAAAGTTTCCTAGAAAAGAAATTTGCAGTTAGAGACCCACACATAAATTTTTCTGTTAAGTTATTGTTGGCTGACTATAAAAACATATATGGATTCAACTGAAAATTGTGACTAAAACTAAGAGTAACAGATCACCAATCCTGTTTACAAAGTTTGTGGTCTGAGTTTCTGGTCTGAGTTAAACCTTTCTCTTGCCATCTTTACTGTAGTGTGTAGTACAGTCTTGTAACTAGTGATTGGTTTGATTGACTCTCTTTCCTACTGAACTGTGAGCTCCTTGAGAACGATGACAATTTCTTAGTCTCTTTTTGTGTCTCCAATGCATAACACATTGTAGATTCAATAAATAATTTTGAGTGAATGAATATGAAATATAGCTATTCCAATGTCAGGAAAGGAACATAAAAAATGAAAAATAAGCATTTTATTGGAGCTCGTAACATGTATGGGACTGGTTAATGTCTGCAGGAGGCAATATTAGAATATTGTCCTTCTGTTCATATGTTGTCAAAACTATTTAAGCAAGGTTGTTTATGTTTATTATTTTAGTAAGCCTATGAAAAAAGTGTTTTGGCCTGGCATGTTTCTGGGAAGCAAACATTTATGGCATTCTAGTATCCCAAGAGCTATGGATTTGATGTGCCAAATGAACATTTGTGTGAATGTATTTTAAGAAAATTACATAGCAGAAATCATAACAGATTCCTGGGTGCTGGCAGAGTTGTTTTTCCATTTTAAAAAATTACCTTTTCCTTTTTAACGAGAAACTTAGACAAGCATTTGGCTTTAGAAATAGAAATTCTGTGGGCTTATTTGGATAACATGATATTCTTATTCAGACAAATTTATAAATGATATGAATAGTTTTTCCAGCTGAGTTAGAAGGAGGTCATTTTGACAGCTGTTGCTCTATAGGTAAAGTTTGGTGTAGAATTGTCTCCACAGAACTGCAGTTTAACATTTGCCCTTAATGTTTAATTGACAGTCAGAAGATGGGTTTCATTGATGATTAGGAAAGGCTATGTCCAGATGAACATACCTCCGTATTTTTGAATACCACTGAAATCACTATTTATTATGTATTTTTTTGTCTCATGGAAAGGCCTACCAGCCAAATTTCTGTCTGGACTCAGAAAAACATAGCCTCTGGCTTATGTTTGTTTATTTTTGAGGTGTAGTATGTTAGTGGAAAGAATGTAGACCTTGAAAACCTGAATTCTAATACAAATCTTGGGTAAGAGGTCATTAGATTTTTAATCGTTAATGAGTTATTTCTTAACCTCCCTCAGTCTCAGTTATCACATCTGAAAAAAGGAATAATAAACTATGTCACAGGGTATAGTCTGCTGAACACACTGCCTGACATACCTCAAGGAGCGTTACCCTTCATATTTCTCCCCCCTTATTAGACAAAGTTGTGTAGCACATCTTGTTTCTACATTGGCTTTGGTGGCTGGAAGTTTAGGCTGTTCTGCACTTAATTGCGATAGCTTTCCTCAGCTATGTTATTTAAGTTCTCATTCTTTCTCTTTTTCTTTTTTTCCTTTTATTTATTTTTGGCTGCGTTGAGTCTTTGTTCCTGGGTGCAGGCTTTCTCTAGTTGGGGCAAGCAGGAGCTCCTCTTAGTTGCAGTGCAGGGGCTTCTCATTGCGGTGGCTTCTCTCGTTGTGGAGCACAGGCTGTAGGCACACAGGCTTCAGTAGTTGCAGCACGCGAGCTCAGTAGTTGCGGCACACGGGCCCTAGAGCATGTGGGCTTCAGTAGTTGCAGCGTGTGGGCCCAGGGCATGTGGGCTTCAGTAATGTGGCTTGCGGGCTCTAGAGTACAGGCTCAGTAGTTGTGGCGCATGGGCTTAGTTGCTCCGCGGCATGTGGGATCTTCCCGGACCAGGGCTCAAACTCGTGTCCCCTGCATTGGCAGGTGGATTCTTAACCACTGCGCCACCAGCGAAGTCCCTCTTTCTTTCTTACTACTTTATTTTTTAATGGTTTTGTAATTTTAATTATTTGTTATAAACTATTTTAATTTAGGTTTTGAAGTTGGTAACACATAAAAATATAAAAAGGATTTATTTTGCACAAATATACATGTAAAAATATAGAGCATATGTGATACATATTCTTTCATTGCCTGGTAAAAAGTTAGGAGAAGGCAGGGGAACATCACATCTTTCTTCTTTCTTCTCCTTTATGTATGTAAGACTTAAAGAAGAAAATTACAGTCAGGTATAGTTTCACCACCCAGACATAGCCACTGTTAACAGTTTGGTGTATCTTCTCCCAGAGTTAGTATGTATGCATAGTTACATTTTACTTCACTCACATAAAATTTCATGTTCGTTTTCCTATATCATTTATTTTTAAAAAACATGTTTTTTAATGTGGCATTGTATTTTTTCTTGTGAATGAACAAGCATTTTAAAATTATCAGATATTGTTTCCATTATTAAACATAATGGTTTGGTAAGTGTTTCTAAATCATTTTGTGCATTTCAGATTATTTTCTTAGGATAAATTCCTAGAATTTGATTGTAATTAAAGAATCAAATGGTAGAAATTTTAAAAAGTATCTTCATATATATTGCCTAAATTTCTCTCCGGAAAGGTTATGCCAATTTCCAGCTTCATCAGCAATATATGAGAATGTCTATTTTATTAAACCCTGTAGACACTAGATGTTGTCATTAAAAACAGCAATTTTATAGATGAAAAATGGTATCACACTATTTTAATTTACATTTAACCGAATATTGGTAGATCAACCTTGTTTTCATTTTGTTTTGCCATGTATATTTCTTTGCTTTTTTTTTGTTTTGATCTATATCTTATGCCTCCCCACCCACCCCTTTTTTTTGCTAGCTTTTTTCAATTATTTTGAAATTATTTGGTGGAGATGAGTTTAGAAGTTAGAGTTAAAATATGACAGGGGTATATTTTCAGGAAAAAACAATACCACAAGATTCATAAATCATGTTCTGGGATGGTTTAAAAGAATCATTATAAAAATGAAATAATCTGTTTATTTTATATACTCAGGCAGTATGTGAATACATGTCCTGAAAATTCCTGTGTATGTGTAAAGTTTCTTTTTAAAAGTACATGGGGGTTGCTGTACGTATTTTTCTGTGACTTGTTTTTTGTACCTATAAGTGCCTTATAGATAATTTTGTGTGAATACATATAGCTCGACCTCATTTTTTATTTGCTGTATATTATTCCACAGTATGCATTTGCCATATTCACTTATGTTTTATATAACTTACATCATATACAGTGATTACATGAATACACATCAAATACTCTTAGAAGTTTTAATTTACAATAATCATTTATGTTTTATTTTAGCATTAATTTCATATACTTTTAATTTAGATACTAAAAGCCCTCCAAAAGTTACCATATTTCATTTGTATTGTACAGTAAGGCAGGGTCTGCCTCATGTGTACCTTTTGTCACCTCAGACCCTAGTTCAGGGCCTTTACACCTTGGAGATCCCTGTTCATGCTACTTGATTGTACAAATACTCCTCAACTTCGTCAAGAATGGTTGTGAAATTTTACCTGGGAAGACTATATATGGTAAAACTAAAGAGTAATGTGATTTAAATAATATCTTGAATTTACAGTTGATCCTTGAGCAGTACGGGTTTGAACTGCACAGGTCCACTTATATGTGGGGTTTTTTTTCAGTTAATATGTACTGCAGTCCTACCCAGTCCATGGTGGGTTGAATCCTCTGGTGCAGAGGGCTGGCTGTAAAGTTGAATCTGGCTGGTGCAGATTTTCCATTGCACAGGGCAGGGGGTTGGGGGCTGGGGTCGGCGTCCCTGACCCCCATGTTGTTCAAGGGTCAACTGTACTAGATTTAGTTTAAACAAAATGAACCAATAAAGCGATGAATTTTCCGTTGTGTGTGATAAATTGACTATAAAGATCCAAAAGAAACTCTCAAAACGTTTTCATTGAAATGGTTAATTTGTATAGTCTCAAGGAATTTTATGAAGGGTTAAAATTGCCTTAAATCCTGTATGATAACAATTTGAGCTTTATCTAAAAATATAAAACAAAACCTGTTTAGGTAACTTTTAGATATCAGTATCAGTGTTAATAAGATGATTAAGGACATAGGCTATTTAAATCTGTATAAATTTAATTAGGTGATTTACATTATTTGAGAAAAACAGAACATTACTGCCACCTGGAGGACCTTTCCTTTCTAACCTTCTATGTCATTCAGCAGGGCATTTGACTGAATTTAAAACCTCACAACTCGAGTACAAACAAAGATGGCATGCGTTGTACTGTCTGTTCAGATAGGGTTAATGTTTATCTTTGTTCAGTTTCATTTGAATATTGTTAGATTGTAGAATATCACTGCCCTGTGAATACTACTAGTGAAACACTTATAATTTTATTTATATATCTTCACATCTAAGATCTAGAAGGCAGGGATGTTGAATTTCTGCTCTTGTAGTTTGTATTCCTGACTTGCCCTTAGATGGGACCCTGCTCAGTCCTCCAGGTCCCTGCAGACTAGAGTGTGCCTTTTGCTAATTGTCAGCTAGTCTAGATAGGTTGCGTTCGGATAGTATAATTGAAAAGACTTTTTTTTTTTGTTATGATCGTATACAGAAAAAGTGGGGAAGGGAGAGTGGAAGAGTGATTTTTTTGATGTAATGAGGGATTACTAAATGAATTCTTGACTACTATTTCTAACCTAAAATAAAAAAATAATGGACCTGATTTTTGGTTGTTGTGTACTTCATGTGCAAGCTTCAAAGGCTTAGGATTTTTTTAGTGACTGAGAAGAAATTAACTGGCATATTTCTCTTCCGTAAGATAACTTTGTTTTCAAGAGGCAAACTGTGCAAGTACACCTAAGTGGCTAAGGATTGTAATACCCGGACCATTCATGAACGTATTTCTTCTTCTGCTTAATGATTAATCATTTTACTGTGGCTTCTACTGAACAACATCAGCCAGTTTTATCACCTACGTGCCTGATGGGCTTCTAATATTTGAGGCAGAAATAAGGCTTTTGAAGATATTGAGACTCTTCCACACCTTTGTTTTAAAAGTTAGGTCAGATGTAACTTGTCTTAAAGCTATGCAGATGCATAGTGTGCTTGATTTTTTGTTGCCTTTTTTGAAATATTACAGTCAAACATTAGAAATAAGAGCGCAAGTTGCAGATGCCTTCTTATCCAAGTTCCAGCTGACTTCTGACGAAATGAGTCTTCTCCGAGGTACAAGAGAAGGACCTATCACTGAGGTATTTTGCTCTCTGTTAAAATCACTTAAAGCATAGCAGTTACAGATGTTATAGAGAAATCACTCTTTTTTTAAGGCTTTATTTTACCACCTAAAATTTTTTTTGATTTAAAAATATTTTTAAATTTAGCAATTAAGGTGCATATTTTAAATTACCTTATTTTTCAAAGCAATACATATACTTTTTTTTGGTTGTTTTTAGAAGTCAAAGAGTACAACATGGCTTATAAAGAAAACCTACATCACCTATCCCACTCCTTCCCATCTCTAAGTCCTTTGGCAACCATTTTCAATCTTGTTAATTGCTTCTTTTGTAAATTCTGTATTCTAGATCTATAGTTAAAAAGAATATGCTTTAATTTTAAAGGATTTTTTCAAGGCATTGGGAAGAGTAAAACAGATTCATAATGATGTCAAAGTTCTCTTGCGTACAAACCAACAAACAGCAGGGTGAGTAGTCTTTTCAGTTCATGATTGTGTTACCTTTTATATTTCTAAAATTTAACGATTTTCTAGGTTCTTCTTAAAGTATATGACATTATGACATTTTGTGAAATAGAAGTTTAATCTTTATGTATCTTTGGATAAGGAGAAAGTTATACCCTGATACGTTTAGAGTAAAACAGCAGTTGGGTATCTAAGTGATGGTGTTAAACTTGGCGACATTTAATTATAAACATTTACTGAAAAATTATTCCACAAGATGATAAAAAGTTAATAGGCTATAACCAAATCACTCTGTAATTAAATAAAGTGATTAGGTTCTTAGATATATTCAATAGCTATTGGCTAAAACTTTTTAATAAATTATAATAAACCTTTAATGTTTTTAGTTTAGAAATTATGGAACAGATGGCCTTGCTTCAAGAAACATCTTATGAAAGACTTTACCGGTGGGCTCAAAGTAAGTGATTTCTTTTATGCAGTCTAGATTCATGAATATTAGTGTTTGATTTTGTTATTTCACTTAGTCTTTATTTGATATCATTTTGATCTTAGTAATCAAAAACTATTTTTAAAAAGAAAAACTTTATATTTGAACATATTGTCTTTGTATGTGTCTCATAAACATCTACTATCATTCAAGCACTGTCTATGATTAAGGATGGGAATAAAAAAATAAAGTCAGTATTTCTGCCCCAGATTATCTTAAAGTTGATTAGACATCTCTTGTTATTTACATGACATGTTATTTACATATAGTAGTTACTACAACTTTAATAAATGGTGAGTTTTTCTATTACTGCTGTAACAAATTTAACACAATCTTAATGGCTTAAAATAACACAAATTTATTATTTTATAGTTCTGTAGTCAGAAATCACCATGCTAAAATTAAAATGTGGGCAGGGCTGCATTCATTTCTGGAGGCTCTAAGGAGTAGTCTGTTTCCTTGCTCATTCAGTTTGTTGGCATAACTTAGTTCTTTGAGTCTGAGGACTGAGCTCTGAGTTGCCTTGCTGGCTGTCACTGAGGGTCTTTCCCAGCTTCTAGAGGCTGTCTGCATTCTTTGGCTTGTGGCCCCTTCCTCCATCTTCGAAGCCAGTAATGGGTAGATGGAGTCACTTTCTCACTTTGAGTCTCTTCTGCCTCTTCTTCCATCTCATATCTCTAACTCTTTTGCTAGCCTTTTTTACTTTTAAGACCTATATGATTATCTTGGACCCACTTGGGTTATCTGGGAAAATGTCCCTATTTTAAGGTCTGTCACCTTAATTCCATCTGCAAAGTTCCTTTTGCCACGTAAGATGGCATATTCACAGGTTTCAGGGATTAGGGATCTTTGGAGGACCATTATTTTGCCTATCACAAATGGTTTATTTGCTTTAGGTTTGCTTTAAAATGTTTCAGTAGTCTGTTCATAGAATTGCCTGTTAAAAACAAAGTAGTTAAGACTTCAAGAATGGAACATGTGCACAGGATATTTTAATAGATGTTACCAGCTGACTGTTGGAAGGAGTTGGGATTAAATCCAGTTAACCAGTATACTTGTACTTGACTGTGAAAAACCTTATGTGTTTCAGATGATTTACTCTTTATCTCCAAAACTTCTTTCTTTTTTTTTTTAATGTTTATTTATACGTATGTATGGCTGTGTTGAGTCTTCGTTGCTGCACGCGGGCTTTCCCTAGTTGCGGCGAGCGGGAGCTACTCTTCATTGCGGTGCACGGGCTTCTCATTGCGGTGGCTTCTCTTGTTGCGGAGCACGGGCTCTAGGTGCGCGGGCTTCAGTAGTTGTGGCTCGTGGGCTCTAGAGCGTAGGCTTAGTAGTTGTGGTGCACGGGCTCAGTTGCTCCGCGGCATGTGGGCTTTTCCCGGACCAGGGATCGAACCTGCGTCCCCTGCATTGGCAGGCAGATTCTTATCCACTGTGCTACCAGGGAAGCCCCAAAACTTGTTTCTTTTTCTACTTCTCTTGTTTGCACTGTTTACTCCTATTTGGAGTATGGTCTGGCTTTCCCTCTTTATATCCAAATCCTACCTCAGTCTTCAAAGTCTGGCTTAGGTTCTACATCTTCCTGGAACTCTCCACAACTACATTAAATCATAGTGGCTTTTCCCATCTCTGAACACTAACTACTGAATATATTTATTTGGTATTCAATAATTTACTATTCTAACATAACTTAACTTTTCATATATGTATGTCTTAGCTCTCCAGTTAGATTTCTGTTTTCATAAAGGCAAGGACATTGCCTCATATTTCTTTGTGCTCCCATGACGTCTAACGTGGAAGTTCCAAACTGACATTCTGACTCCTAAGGACACTGGAGTCATCGTAAGATAGCTCCAATCCCATACACGTGTATGTTTTTCTCAGTCAGTGTGTGCCAGAAAAATATACTGCTAGCGTGAGGTCCTCATATTCCCAAAGGTTGGGAACTTCTGAACGTGCTCTGAGTTTTTTGAGCAGAGTAGACATTTAATAAGTATTTTATAGATAGGATAGTAAAATAAAGGACATATTGGTGTACAGATTTTTTAAACAGTTTAAAATCTAAACAATTTTGAAATTATAATCTTAATACTATATATTAGTTACCCATATAAACATTTTAGCAAACTCCTTGAAGATTGCTCCCAAGGTAAGGAACTGGTAATATATGTTTAGTACTCCCTTCCCTCCTTGACATTGCCATGTGTATAGCAGTTATTTAGTGCACGTTTGTTCATTGACTGGTTTCTTCAGAACTGTAGTTTTTTATAATACTAAAATATGTGGGGGCTTCCCTGGTGGCGCAGTGGTTAAGAATCTGCCTGCCAATGCAGGGGACACGGGTCTGAGCCCTGGTCCGGGAAGATCCCACATGCCTTGGAGCAACTAAGCCCGTGAGCCACAACTACTGAGCCAGTGCTCAAGAGCCCGGAAGGCACAATTACTGAGCCCGCGTGCTGCAACTGCTGAGGCCCGCGCGCCTAGAGCCCGTGCTCCGCAACAAGAGAAGCCACCACAATGAGAAGCCCGTGCACCACAACAAAGAGTAGTCCCCACTCGCTGCAACTAGAGAAAGCCCACCCACAGAAACAAAAGCCCAACACCCCCCCCAAAAAAAAAAAAATATATATATATATATATGGTATACCAGATAGCAGATGTGGTCATTTGAAGTTATGTAGGTATTTAAGCTTACATTTTCAGTTTGACAGCATGAACTAGTTTTTGATTGGCATGTTCTCTAGGCTTTTCCAAGCTTTTTTTTTTTTTGCGGTACGCGGGCCTCTCATTGCAGTGGCCTCTCCCGTTGCGGAGCACAGGCTCTGGACACGCAGGCTCAGCGGCCATGGCTCACGGGCCCAGCCGCTCTGTGGCATGTGGGATCTTCCCGGACCGGGGCACGAACCCGTGTCCCCTGCATCAGCAGGCGGACTCTCAACCACTGCGCCACCAGGGAAGCCCCCCAAGCATTTTTTTAATACAGTATTTAGACTCTGGCTGTACAAGAGACATAATAAGGTACTTATTAATTGTACTTTAACAAGTGTTATAATGTTATAATGATTATATAACACAATAAGTGTTATAATGATTTTTCAGGTGAATGCAGAGCATTGACACAAGAATCATGTGACATATCTCCAGTACTGACTCAGGCAATGGAAGCCCTGCAGGATAGACCTGTCTTATATAAGTGAGTGACTTTTTCCTAATTAAAAAAAACAACTTACTTTTTCTTCGGTAATTTACATTGGCTTTCAGTATTATCAAATTCACATATAATAGTGTGAGCAATATAATAATTTACAGTGATGTTTTTATCTCATCTCGGTACCATTGGGGCATCAGCTTATTTGCATATTATTACTTGCTGTAGAATGCAACATGGAGATGAAAACCAAGGTGTCCCTGTATCTAGACTACCTCTTATTTGTGTACAGGCTAAGGGCTTTTCCCCAATCTGTCATCTCGTTAACGACCTAGGAATTGTATGTAACTAAAACTCCTGTATCAACCCTGCCCTGGAGAGAAGGTCGAATAGACTGACAAATAATAATTGCCCAGAGATGAAAAAAGAAAATTTTAAATTAGAATTCCATTAGTAGGACTTAAGAAAGAAAGAGTTCAGGTATTTGATCCTGTAAGTTATATCAGCCAAGCGCTATGTGATAATGCTTTGGATAAGAACTTTACGCATTATTAACTTATAAATTTTTTATTATTCTGTATTTTTTCTTTTACTTTTCATATAAAATAGAAGTAAATACCTTTTTACTTTTAATGCCTGGAATAGTATGGAAATAGGAAGACCAAGTGGGGAGTTAAAATTCAGGAAACAGAAAGCCAGGGGACTCCTGCATAGGCATCAGTCCTGCCCTGAGCCATGCCTTTCATATGCTTACGTATTTTTAGAGGATTTCCTTCTTACTCTGTTTTCTGACTGGAACGTTGCTTGTCCTGTAATAAGGTTCCAGAACACAAATGCTGGACAGCTACATAAAATAATAACATCCCAGTGCTACTTACTGAGTACTCACTATGTGTTAAGCACAGTTCTAAGTGCAGCAGACTTAACATCAATAAAGCATTGCCTTCAAATTGCTTTGTTTTATTGAACAAATAGACAAATCCACTTTAATGAATACATTAATTGCTTTTCTAAAAGTCAAGTCTCAAGTGCTTTGTGGCTCAAGTAGTCTGTGGTGAGGAAGGGGGTGAATATTAGAGGAAATTCCCCTCAGGAAGTAGGTATGAAATGACTTCTTAAGGTGATAAGCATTTTCCAGGATGAAAAGGGAGGAGAGAAGATCCCAGGTTGAGGGAACAGCAGGTGCAAAGGTGTGGATTGAGGAGGAACGTGTACCTTTAGGAAACTGCGACAGCTTGCCCTGGCTGTTGGGTTAGTAGCAAGAGCTGGATCATAATAGCCCTGCGTGTTGTGCCGGTGCCTGTGATAAGCTGATGTTCACTCTTGACCAGCGCAGCAGATCTTATCGACTTCGAAATTTCTTTCCCAGCTTTTTCACTGTAAGCTATTGGTGTTTGATTATGAGAGTCTTTTGGTACTTAAAACATTTGGTGTTTGTTTAATAATGTGTAACATTGACCACAGATTCATAATTGTTCACAAGGTTAATCTTTTTAAAAAAATGCCTTTGTCTGTTTTGGGCATCTGAAAAGGTCAGCTGACTTCTATTATTTTTTCTAAATTTTGATTTTTGATCAACACTTGGGAAGGAGCAATATTGCATAATGGTTTAAAAGGTGGGCTCTGAGTTAGATTTTTTGATGAACCCATGCACCTTTATAAGCTTCAGTTTCCTTGAGCTGTAAAATGAGGATAAAAGTAGTGCCTGTCTTGCCGGGTTGTTGGGAAGATTAAATTAGAATGTTCCCATAAGGTGTTTACCATAATGCTTTGCTCATCACAAAATATTAGCTATTATTTCTATTTTGAAAGGAGATAAACTGGAAAGTTTTCAACTAAAGAGAAGTAAGGCACGACAGTAAGGCAAAATGCTTGAAAGACAAAGAATAGAACTAAAATAGGCAAAGATTTATCTCCCAAGGACACACAGGGGATGGGGGCAGTAGTGCAGTATAGAAGGTTGTAAGAAGCATTTGCGGGTGGAATGGGGAAGAGGGAGGATTTTAGTGACAGTTAAGTACCATAACATGAATGCTAAGAAAGAGAAAATGGTCCTTTCATCTTAAGTAATCACCTGTTTCCAAAAGTGGTGGTTTCTTTAAATTTAGGGAAAACTTAATAGTATATCATGTTAACCACCAGATGGCACTATATGAACTTGATTTAAGTGATGTGTAAAAGCTTCACTGTTCATTATTGTGTCTCACGTGTGTAAGTATCAGGTACAAGAAAATGTCAGTTACTGAAGTCTTTGGGGAAAGTTGCCATACTCAGTTTTTCTTAGGTATTATATAACCGAATGCTAACGCGTTATTGACTTTTAATAAATCAAGTACAGAAGTTTTTTCAAAAAGAAATTTATTACAAGTAGAAATGAACAAATTGATGTTGTCTTCTTTCCATTGGTAAACCTTCAGCATATAAATTATTAAAGAACATAGTAATGTGTACAATGCTGATTTTTCTTCATTTTTTTATTTGTTGCATTTCTTAGAGAGGTTTCTACACTATTTTATCTTTTAATTCTTTTTTGGACAAATTTTTTCATCTTTTAATTTGCTGTTTGACCAGAAATTTTCTTTTTCTACTATGGCTAGATATAAAAAAATGGAGATTTAAATTTTTATTTTAACTAGAGGCATTTTAGAATATTTACATAATTTTAACAGTCACCTTTGTAAAGGTACATTTTCAGTTTTTGACCTTTGTTGGAAGAGAATCCGTTTTGGTCAAAGAAATTTTCTTCTGTCTCTGGGAAAAGATGTTTCATGTCTTCAGGTATCATTGAAGGTTCCTTTTAGTTCATGCTGTTCTTCAAATTATATCTATTGCAGGAAAATAAGCATTAATATTGTTTATATGTTATAGTAAACAGATTCAAGTGTTTGTTAGGCTTTTTAAATCGCCCCTCCCCCATTTAAAATGCCAGTGGATTCACTGGTTTCTAATATAACTTGTGGTCACAGTGAATAGTCCTAGAAACAGAAGTTACATTGTTTCTGTTTATTACATAGCCACTTGGGTCCAGAGGGTGAAGATTAGTTTTACATATTTAAAAAGTTAAAAGTTTGTGAATTTTGTGCTGTCATAAGGAGTCATCTGATCACAAGTCATTTCGTGGAATTGACGATCATTTAAAGCAGGGGTCCCCAACCCCCGGGCCGCAGACCGGTAGGGGTCCTCAGCCTGTTAGGAACCCGGCCGCACAGCAGGAGGTGAGCGCTGAGCCAGGGAAGCTTCATCTGCGGCTCCCTGTCGCCCCCATCGCTTGCGTTACAGCCTGAGCCATCCCCCCCCACCCTTCTGTGGAAGAATTGTCTTCCACGAAACGGGTCCCTGGTGCCAAAAAGGTTGGGGGCCGCTGATTTAAAGGAATGCATTCTTTACCCTGAACGTTTATAATTTGAGAGCATGAGGCAAAAAATAGAAATAAGCATTTTGGTTCTAATTTATTTTAAAAAATAGAAAGTGAATGCAAGGCAATTGTGTACTTTAGCAACACTTAGCTTGATACTGCGTTTTCATCTTGACGTATATATCTGCTATGTCACTGCAGGGAATTTCAAAACCATTTATTTTTAACCAAAACCAAAAAACCACAAACAACCATGATCTGGTTACTAGTAAACAGTCCTCTAAAAAGGTTCAGAGTCCTAAAAATTCACAGCCATTGATTCTTCACTACACTTTGATTTAAAAATATTCCATCTTCCAGCTTTCCTACGTTAAAAAAAAATGTGAGTTTTTCATTAAATCAGTAGCATATTAAAGAAAGCAGTATAGCCTAAGAAATTCTTCTGGAAACCTTTGGGGAATTTTGATAACTTTTATTTATATGTAAGGTAATGAAATAATTCTCAACATTTAGTAGAGTACTGTTTAGGGATTTAAAAGTTAATTGGTCTAGAATCCGCTGACATCGGACTATGAAAAAAATACTTTGTTTTCCTATGTACTTTTAAAATAGAACTTTCAGTTGGGCATCGCGTGGTGATAATGGGAAACAAAGGCTGATTCTAGTCGAAGAAACAGGTACTGTTGGTTACTCTAAGCCATCCTATAATTTGATCCCAAATTGTCTGATTCTTTCATTCAAAGCTTTTCTTTCCTACAAATTCCTCACCTTCGAAAGTCCATTTTTTTCCCCCAACCATAATTGATAACTTGTAAATATATGTAAAAGTATTTGCTCTGTATGCATAGTTGGTCAGTAAATTTAAGGAACACATGTTTAACATTGGAGTCAAAATAAGCTTTTAAATATGAATAGTATATTTTGGACAAATTTTGATGGTAAATTTTGATAATATTGAATAAATATAAATGAGAATTTTTTAATGTAGAAGGAAAAGTCTTCTATTTTGGATGGCAGAGTTCTAACTGTAACCAGCCTCTGAGAACTAGATATTAGGCCTTATGTGTGCAGTGGAACATCATGTTTTGGGCAAGGGGGGCACTGAAACCTGAAGAGTCCTGGATTTCCACCTTGTCTTGATTTTTACTTTTACCAAATCCCCTGCTCTATCCCTTATACCCACTGCCTCTGTTACTGATTCCAAATCCCAGCATTCTTTCTTAGGCATAAAAAGATGTACCTTTAGGCTGAATTATCATTATGATAAAGTTATTTCATAAATATTTTTTGTTTAAAACAGTATTGCTTGAGAGAATTGTGTAAAAAAAGCTTTAGATATCTTAGAAAGTGCATGAATACTTGGATGTAACCATTAGGAAGAAAAGCAACTGTTTGTTAATAACTTGTTTCTTCTAGGTATACCTTAGATGAGTTTGGAACAGCTAGAAGAAGTACAGTTGTTCGTGGATTTATCGATGCTCTTACAAGAGGGGGCCCAGGAGGTACACCTAGACCCATTGAAATGCACTCCCATGACCCTTTGAGGTATAGTAGTCAGACAGTATTGGAGTATTCGATGTTTTTCTGAAGGAAACCTTTACTAACATTTAGTTTTTTCATTAGATATGTAGGAGATATGTTGGCTTGGCTCCATCAGGCTACTGCTTCTGAAAAAGAGCACCTTGAAGCTCTCTTAAAGCATGTAACTACACAAGGTGGGTCCTCTGATTGTTACCACTCATGCCTAGATCTAGTAAATCACGCAGGACTTCTCTGTTTCTGTTTTCTTCATGGAGATAAACTCGTCACACTAGGTGATTTAATAAGCATCCTAATTAATCTTCCTGTCTCTAGTTTCCCCCTTTTTCTGCTGATAGACTTTCTTTTCCATCACTTTCATTTTGTCACACAACTGATCACATTTTTATACTGGACCCTTGGGACCTTTCCTTGTAAGCCTAGACCCCTCTGCTTCACTTTTAAGGCATCTCTGGAGTGCCTGGCCTACATTATCTCAGCCACCATCCTTTAAAGGCAAAAGGTGATGTTCTCTTCATTTTATCTATGAGTACACAGGCTCAGTCAGTGACTGGCCTAAGGTCGTTAAGCTACTACTTCTTTCATTTCTACTCTCCAGCCCCTTTTTTCATTCTCATGTGACTATTTTAAAGTTTTTTGAATAATTACCTATGTACTGAGACTTCCCTGGTGGTCCAGTGGTAAAGAATCCGCCTTCTAGTGCAGGGGACGCGGGTTTGATCCCTGGCCGGGGAACTAAGATCCCACATGCTGCGGGGCAACTAAGCCCATGCACCACAACTAGAGAGCCTGCGTGCCGCAAACTACAGAGCCCATGCGCCCTGGAGCCTGCGCACCACAACTAGAGAGAAGCCCGCACGCTGCAATGAAGAGCCTGTGCGTCGCAACAAAAGATCCTGCACGCCTCAACGAAGACCCAGCGTGCCGCAACTAAGACCTGATGCAGCCAAATAAATAAATAATTAGCTGTGTACTAAATGTACCTAAAATTTTGGTCTTGATTTCAAAGAAGAGAAATGATTATTTTTGAGTTGCAAACGTCTGTTTACAGAATTTCAAATTTTCTTAGTTGGGACTACCTTAAGATGCCTGTTGTAGAAGGGGTTAGTAGATAATTAAGATACTCTGGCTTTGCTAGGAAGTGAAGAGAGATGTTGTGACTGGTATCACCTATTTTGAATAGCTCAGCCCTGGTTTAGCACGTCATCTGCAGGAGAGGCCAGTGTACGAATGGGTGCAGGACTTAACCTCTTCGTTTTTAACTCTTCGATATTGAGATTAGATTCAGCATATGTGATAGGTTGGCACAAAGTCTGCACTTTTTAAAGTTGTTTTCTGTTATGCTAATTACCCAGTTTAAAAGAATGTACTTGTTAAAAGATGTAGGAAAATTTACATGAGAGGTAACATTAAGAAGTGGGAAGAAAATAATTGGAGTTAGAAATAAGTTATTCTGTGGGAATGGCATGAATTCTTCTAAACCTGAGTCTCTCCATCTGTAAAAATGAAGGTGGTTACAAGCAGTACATGTCAAGTACCCTGTACAGACCTTGATAAATAGTCGATAATCAGTAAATGTCGGTTTTTCCATTAGATTGCAAGGCGTGTTTTCCATCTTTATACCCGTAGTTTGTGTGCTTAGCACTACTGCCTAGAGTAAGGAGTTTGTGGAATGAGTGCTAATACATCTTCACATCACCTCCTTCAGTTAATAAATTTCACAGTCTTTTTTTCATACGTTTACTCTTCTTCACAAAGAAACAATGTTCATTAATCAACAGTCAAATCAATTGATAGGGCTTTAGACTCATTAATATAATTAGTAATGTCCTAAAGATATTAAACTCAATAAAATATCATTAATTGTTATTTTAAATGTTTATTAATGCCATTAATCATATGTATTAGTGTTTGTTAATTTTCTGAACTTACGTGAAGCAAAGTGTAATATGGAAAACAAATTTTAGTTATGTTGTAATTAATTGTAGGTGTTGAAGAAAATATTCAAGAAGTTGTTGGACATATTACTGAGGGTGTGTGCAGGCCCCTAAAGGTAAAATATTTTGTTTTTATATATGTTATATGGTAGCTGGTTAAATTAATGACTGATTTTAAAGAAACAGCAGCTTGAATTCAGGCCGTAATTTTGTCAGATTAACACAATGTAGGGTAATAAAACGCATTTTAAAATAATCATTGCCAATTTTCTATGCAAGAGGTTTTTGCATACTCATATACATGTATTTATAAAATATCATTTTAGCAGATCACATTCGTTGGTATTATGACATACTCCAAAATCTAAATGTTTTCAAAAGCATTTGTTTATTGAACATCTCTTGTGTATGTGCTGTTCTAACCAAATGCTGCAGAGATGTAAGAGAACCAGAAAACACAATGTCTATGTTTAGAATCCAGTTAGGAAACAAGAAGACACATATGTTATCAGCAGCTTAATAAGCATAGATGTAATATAATATGTAAGTAAGCACATTCAGTGTGGTTTAGATTGTATTTGTTAATTAGGGACTATAAAGTCAGGGAAAGATTAGTGAGGGATGGATTTTAATTAGAAAAGATTCCTAGTAGTTAAACTTGAGCATATCAAGTTAACCTTGAACTAGATCTGAGGTATTGCCCTGGCAGTATTATAATTGGCCAAAGAGGTTGGTGCTAATTCAAGATTTATCTGCTTTCCGATTCTCTAATAGAAAGAAACTTGGTATAGTTGTTTAAAGAGAAGATTTTTTTTTCATTTTTTTCCTTAATATTCATTCGTAGAGCAGTACCTTTTCACTGATAATCTGTTTTTAGGAATGTAACAGCTGCTTTGCAATTTAGTGCTAAACTAAATTCCATTATACGCTGGTGAAAAACCTCGAGATGACCTCATTGTGTTGATTATTTCTGATAGGAAATGCCTTGAACCACATTCTGTAGGTAATGGATCATTTTTTTGTAGAGCATATCTGTGCTAAAGTTTCTGTGTTGTTTTACCATCCTCTGTGATTTAATATTCAGGAGTTCTTTATTTAGAAGGAATTTTGTGATTTCTGCAATAATAAAATTTAATCTTTTTAATGCTCTTCATACCACATGTGATTAATGAAGAAAAGTTACACTTTTAGGAAATGTTTAGTTTTTTCTCACATGTTTTTTAATAGGTTCGAATTGAACAAGTAATAGTTGCTGAACCTGGGGCAGTTTTGTTATATAAAATTTCTAACCTCCTCAAATTTTATCACCATACAATCAGGTAAGTGGAATGGTTAAATGTGCTTGTTAAATCCCATGTGACACTTCATTTCAGTTAGAACACAGTGTAATATTTTTTGTGTGTGTATTCTATACATGACTAAGAGTAACTAGTAGAACCTCTACACCATGTGAATCATTATATGCGTATTATACATACTGTACTTTTGAGGTCCATCGTTTCCTTGGAGAAAGCTTCTCCAAGCGTAAGTACACACACACACACATAGCAGTGTAAGTCTATAATATAAGTATTTTTTGAGTCCTCCTGTATTAGTAAAAGAGATCCATGGCACCTAAAGTAACTTTATGTTATACTCAGAGTGGGGCATAATTAGTAACATGTCCTATTCTGGATGTTTACATAAATTCTTAACATTTCGTTTTCCATTAGTGATAGAACAGAACGATAGCTTTATCTCCTCTAAGCAATAGCTGTCTTACCTTCTCTAAATAAAAGTGACTTTATAGATAAGACAAGTGGTTCTTAATCAGATAAAATATGATCTTCAACTCCAAAATTTGCATTCATTTTCACCTTGCAAATATCTTTTGGTGGTATACATAGACTTGAGCCTTATTGTAGATATAAGACCATGTTATATGTGTGGTTGTGTTAAAAGTGTTCTTCTAATCTATGTTTTTGATAGTTTTCATATTAGCCTATTAAAAAATGAGTTTAAATTTCTTTTTATCAAGCATGCCAGTATCAGGAACAGAAGAGTCACTTTCAATACATGAATAGGAGAATAAAATAGGGAGTTGTTTTATATACATGCTTGTCTTACATTCTGCCAAAAATGAGAAACCCCATTGGATAAGTCTAAGAAGTATCCTTGTAATATAAAATTGAGAATTATGGAATGTAGAATAATTATTTCAAAATGTTATCAGATTTTTCTTAATTAGTCTAAATATATGCTATTTAGGTAGCTGTATAAAAATTGAGAAGCTTTATAATTTACAGGTGTGTTATTGATACAGTGTAACAGTTTTAATTTAAAAAACTCAGTATTAATAAAAATTATTTTCTCAATAGAGCTATTGATGGAATGGCTTCCTTAAAATCAGATCTTCTTGGATAGTCAAAACATGCATTTACTATAATAGAGGAAAAATAGAGACATGGGTTTGCGTATTACAAGTGTTCGTTCTAACCCACTGCTTTTCTAAGAGATTGTGAAATATTTAAAACACTGTAGTTTGTTTTCATTTGTTCATCACCTAACTTAAAAGGAAAAAAACCCTCATTTTTATATGAAACTAGAGTAATTGTTTTTGATTCACAGGTTATATTCTATATAAAAACTTTTATTTAAATCTAGATCTTTTTAAAGAATTCTACTCAGTTAAAGAGCTGGGTTGTTTTGGCCTGTTTTGCAACCTGAAATATTCTTTGCTTTTAGTGGCATTGTTGGAAATAGTGCAACTACATTGTTGACTACCATTGAAGAAATGCATTTGCTGAGCAAAAAAATATTCTTCAGTAGCTTGAGTCTTCATGCCAGCAAATTAATGGACAAGGTACGTTTGAAAAATGCAATTCTTGAACTATGTGAACGTGAGTTTTTCACATTTAAAAATGTTGTTTTACTGTTTCCATATTGGTGACAGTTTTTTCCCATTCCATTCAGCGTTCTTTTGAGTTCTTCCTGTGAACAACAAAATTCATTTTGAGGCGGCTTACAGGATGTAGGCTTATAATCTGTTCCTGGAACAGTGTAATTTTGAGTCATAATTAGTGGTAGAATCTCAAGCCCTAGTTTCACTACCAGTTTTCAATAACCAAAAATTTGTAATTAAAGCAAACTGACTATATTTAATAGGTCAGGGCTAAAATGACATACAGATTGGAAAACTTGAACTTTTACTAAATGTTTTTTCTAAACAGCTTACTTAAGTTTTACATTCTTGGTCCAGCTTTGTCCTTATGAAATTTATGTTCCCTTGAGTTATATACTGTAATTAATTGATTGGAAAGACCTTAAGGAATGGGTTTATAGTGATCAAATCCTTCTTTGTTTTTATTTCATTATTAAAGACTCAACGTTTTTCAAGGATGCATCACAATCACCATTCTGGCTTTTTTTTTTTTTTTTTTAAATTATACTGGTCTATCTAACAGCCTGGTTATATTAGACACAGGTTTGTAGTATAGTGTGGAACAATCAGTAGCAATCCAATCCAAAGTACCTGGTCTATTTTTACATTCCTAAGCTCAGAGAAGCCTTAATAAGAGTCTGCTTTCTGACCCCCAGCAGCATGAATTTGTGGAGCTGGAGTATTTCCCTTATATGTTTTCCTGTATCACAGGAAGTTTACTAACAGTCAATCAGTTCTCATTATAGATATGTTTACATGAGTTCTTATTTAGACAGAATTTTTCTAAAATCATTCATACATGATATAGACTTTGCATGTGAACAAACATGTGCTTCCTAATGAGGACAAAGCAAACAGTCAAGGTCTGTTGGTCTCAGGTTACTTTTCCTTTCACAGAAAATAGACTAATAAATCGGTGATTACTATAGAATACATGTTTTATGAAAGACGTGCCCAAGGTGCTATGCTAGCACAATAAGAAGAGTATGTATAATAATACTCATATACAGAGAGGGAGCTTTCCAGAGAGGGAGTTAATAAGAATTGAACTTGAAGGACATGGGGGATTAGATGGGTAAAAAAGGAGTGGGTAGAGGTCATCCTAAGTAGAGGAAACAAATAGAATATGCAAGCTAAGAGTCATCAATACACAAATTTTCATTTATTAAAAATCAGTTGGAAACTGGTGTGGCATGTAGATAGGAGAGAGCCACGTTGCAGACAGGAGAGTTAAGGGATTGTCGAAGTAGTTTTTATGAAAATACATACTCTAAGGAAGAGCCATAAGGGGACAGATTCTCGGGGGCTAAAGGTAAACCTTCAGAAGTTGGTGACTGCTTGAATGTGGTTAAATGAGAGGGAAGAGTTCTAAAATAACTCCTAAGTTACCAATCTGGGAATATTGATACTAATCACAAGTATCTGGAATAGAGAGAAAGTGTAAAACTGGGGGGATAAAGGTGATGATATTGTCTAAGTTAGACAAGATACATGTGGGATATCCTTCTGCAATCAGTCTGATCTAATAGGGAGCTGTACATCTGGATTTATGGAGCTTTGCATGTAAAAGATAGTTGAGTCCATGTGTTTGTCTGAGGTCACTAGGAATCATGTTTAATAAGAGTAGAGCTTCCAGGACACACAGTCTTGAGAAACAGTGACATTTAAGAGAAGAAAATAAGTGCTACCATGGTAGAATGCTGAGGAAGGTTGATTGGAGAGTCAGGAGAGAAATGAGAAGAGGGTTTTATCAGAAAAGCCAAGAGAATAGAGTTTCAAGAAGGAGGGCATAGTTGATGACAGATACTATATGAAGAGTTCTAGTAAAACAAGGGTGACAGGTTTGCTATCTTTGTCAGTATATAGATGATCCATGACTTACTGAGGGCAGTTTTATTCATGTGGTGGGGACAAGAGCCAAATTGCAATATGGGAAACACACATGAACGCGTTACCCAAAGCTTTACCAATTGGAAAACATCTGGGCTAAAAACTGGAAGTAAAATGTAGTAGGCATTCTTATTATGAAATTTGAAAGAGAATAATAAAGCAAAATGGTAAAAGGAAAGATGGAAGTACATTTCTATGATAAATTAGGAAACAGGAAAACAAAATTGATTATTTGTTGAAAAGGTCGACAAAATTGACAACCTTCTAGCAATTCTTTAACCAAGGAAAAAATAAAATTTAAAATTATAATATCAGAATTAGAGATAATAACCAGAGATGAGGATTAAACTTGCTAGAGAATACCATATTAAAATATATAAATTTTATTCTAAAATATATAAAAAGGATGATTTTAAGAAAATAAAATTGACAAAAAATGATTCAAAATGAGGTAGGAAACTTGAATACACCTAGGGAGGAAAGAAAAATTATTAATGAACATGCTGCTAGACTTAATTCAGTTTATATAGATAGCTTTATTTACACCTACAAAGAACAGAATTCTCCAGAACACAGAAAAATATGGAAAGCTTCCCAGTTCCTTTTAGGTGGTGTAACACTGACATAAAAACCTTTTAAAGACAGTACAAAAGTGAAAACCTCAAATCAGTCACTTTTTAAGTTTTTTAAAAAGGTAAATAATTATAAAAATAAATCCAGTATTATATTAAAACCAAGTATTGGTTATTCCCAGGAATATAAGAATATTTCAGTGTTAGGAAATATATTAAATGTTTCAGTGTTAAATTATATTCTCATGATATTTAAATTGTTGAGGGGAAAATATTAGTAAATAAAAAAGTAAAAATACTTAACCATATAAAGATTAATAAAACTAATAGCCAACCTCATGATTAACATAGAAGCACTAGTAATATATTCCATTTAAGTCAAGAAAGAACAAGAAAAGAATATTTGCCAGTAACACATTTAAATAATAGAAAATCCAGATAAAGAAAGGACGGATATAAATATTTTAAAGGAGGAAATATTAGATTATTTGTGGATGCTCTGACTGTACTTCAAAAACCAAGAAAATTAATTGAGAAGTTGTAGAACTAGTAAATGGATTTAGAAAGGTAATTGGTGACAAGATCATTATACAAAGATCAGTAGTTTTCAGGGAAGATGGCAAAGTAGGAAGCACCAGGAGTCTGTCACCCCACCTAGATGACAGTTGGACTAGCAGTATTTGTCTAATGTAACTGTTTTGGAACTCTGGAGTCTATTGAAGAATTGCAATTTCTAGGGGAAGGCTTGAATAGTAATAAATTGCAGTCAATTTTGGTCAACTTCAACTCTTAGCATAGTTGCGACTACCCATCTTCCACCCCCAGTGCTGTGGCAGGCAGCTGTACACTTGTTCCTTGAGCACCTTGCACACAGCTTGTAGAGCCAGGGTGAACAAAAAGGAGGACACTGTCCTCTAAACTTCTGGGATCTGTGCTCTCATCCCAGAGTTGTGAAGAGGAGGGTGGCCATTGTTTTTGCACCTCCCCATTGTGTCAGACACCTCCTCCTCTGGCTAAAGTGACTTCCTGGGGATTTCAAGCACTAGTGCATTTTTCCACCCCCTTAATTTTTTTCTTTTTCCCATTTTGGGAGTCAGACATTAAGGTCTAGGACATTCAAAAGCAACTGTATATATGAGGAAAATTAGAAAGTGACCACATGTTCAGGGAAAGGAGCAGGCTCAGAAAGACCTGAGAAGAACTTCAGTTTATACCTTAACCTGATCCTTGGCTCAGAGAGAGGCTACAACAATTTAAAAAAAAAAAACCCAAAGTAGTAACAGAAAATGGCATCCCTGGAGGAGGGGGAGAATCTGATTTCCAGGGTTAAATTATTACATTCAAATGTTGTTTTCAACAAAAAAATCACAAGGCACACAAAGGAACAGGAAAATATGGCCCATTCAAAGGAGAAAAAAATCAACAGAAACCATTCCTGAAAAAGACCTGATGGCATATCTACTAGACAGAGACTTTAAAACAGTCATGTTAAAGATGAGTCAAGAGAACAGCATATGAACAAAATGGAAATATCTATTAGAGTTAGAAAAATCTCAAGGGAAATCAAAAAGAAATTCTGGAGTTGAAAAGTATAATAACTAGCAAACCGAATGAGGAAGCCTTTAAAAAAGACTCTACAGCATGATCAACTGGGATTTATCCCTGAAATGCAAGGATAGTTCAGCCTATGAAAGTCAGTCAGTATAATTACCACAGTAACAGAACAAAGGGGGAAAAGAAATCACATGATCATCTCAATTGATGCAGAAAAAGCGTTTGATAAAATTCAACACTTTTATCATAAAAATACTCAACAAACTAGGAATAGAGGGAAACTACTGCAACATAATAAATGCCATACATGAAAAACCCACCTCTAACATTGTACTCAATAGTGTAAGACTTAAAGCTTTTCGTTTAAGATCAGGAACAAATGAAGCATGCCCACTTTTGCCACTTCTGTTCAACATAGTGCAGGCATTACCTCATTTTATCGTGCTTCTCTTTATTGCACTTTGCAGATAATTGCGGGTTTTTTTTGTTTTGTTTTGTTTTTGCGGTGCATGGGCTTCTCACTGTTGTGGCCTCTCCCGTTGTGGAGCACAGGCTCTGGACGCACAGGCTCAGCGGCCATAGCTCACAGGCCCAGCCGCTCCGCAGCATGTGGGATCCTCCCGGACCGGGGCACGAACCCGTGTCCCCTGCATCTTTAGGCGGACTCTCAACCACTGCGCCACCAGGGAAGCCCAATTGCGTTTTTTTAACAAACTGAAGTTTTGTGGCAACTCTGTGTTTAGCAAGTCCATTGGTGCCATTTTCCAAGAGCATTTGCTCATTTCATGTCTTTGTGTCACATTTTAGTTAATTCTCACAATATTTCCAACTTTTCATTATTATTTGTTACGGTGTTCTGTGTGATCAGTGATCTTTAACATTATTGTAATTGTTTTTTTGCTTTGT